TCTGAAATCAAGATTGAAAAATAAAAGCCTATCTCAGTAGTATATTAAAATAGGTATATGCATTACAGTGCTTAGTACTAGTAATACTCTGAACTAGCATTGTTTTAGTTACCATAATAATAGCGCAGCTCGACTTTACTCTGTGTAAGACCAGACTCGCCATTTTGAAACTCCATATGGAGTATGGGTAAACTGTATAGGCCTATGTAAGACTGAAGGTTGCTTAAATGTTTGGTCACAGACCGGGGACACAGATGGTGAATAAGTAGCATCGAGATCTATCTATTTGGCAATAATAATTATTTTCAAGTTCAATCACAAACAATTTTTAACGCTTTTTAGAACCAGCTTCGCTCATAACAATAACAAACGACTATTTTTTTTTCTGTCCTCGGGCTTCACGAACGTGGTTGGTGAGGATGACGTTCACAGAAAGAATGATACCGCTATACAGTGTTATGATTTTAGAATATAAACCTGTTAAATTAATGTGTGTCATACAAAAACGGGGTTTTTGTATAGCACATTTTTGTATAGCTCATGGCAACTTTTGTTGCCATGAGAAAAACTAATTTCAAATTTTATTTGACAATAAATCTATCTTGTATTTTGTATCTTGCATGAATGCATTTTACAATTAAATGAGCCGACTCACCAACACCTGAAGACCTTTCAAAACATATGGGCTGCAAATCTTCCTCCAAACAGCTTTTAATTGACACCAATCCACTAACACCAGCTCCAACAATGCCAACAGTTTTAATCGCCATCTTGGATTGCTTTGATTTGACTGAAAAATTTCACTTTAGTACAGGGGCCAACAACTGATCTTAAGCTCAGAAAATACAATACATCAATACAATACATGCGCACATTGGAAACACATCATGAATCTTGTTTACAATGTATCACGCCAAACATGCATGCCTCATACAGTTACAGTCGGTCATGTAGGTATAAGTGCAAGTCAGTTATTGACAACAGGAAATAGGTTAAAGATCATCAGTTCATGAACGATAGCTATCCTACTTTAACACAGACGCATAAATAACCTACTTTTATATTCAAAAATATACTTGGGATGTAATCAACCCAGTTTGAGTGTCCCAGAAACAAAATACCCATTCCTAGGCCTTAGGCAATTTAAAAAATATATATATAGCACTTGAAATGTTATGGCCTAAAACCGGCCCTTTGGACTAATTAAGATGGGGATGGGGAAATATGTTCATGTTTTTTGTCACCTTTACATTATGATATGGATATGAAATATAACAAGAACGTGGCTAACCCGGTTACTCTTCACTCTCGTTAAAAATTGGATTGGAATGATGACGTTATGATAATATTATGTCTAAATATTTATGATTGATTGATTGATTGATTGATTGATTGAATGAATTTATTCGATGCTCAACATGCACAAGCAATATAATAATGATTTGAGAACAAGAACAATAAAAATTAATGAGCATCAGGAACGCCAATCATTTATTTGTGGAAGTTAATCTTTAAGCTGTTATATGATAAAGATAAGAACTTTATTGTCATGACCACAAAACAAGGTGTACATGAAATTCGGTTTCCCTGATGCTTATTATGTAATGTTCTAGTTCTTTATCATATTCTTATATATTTATGGTCATCCTGTAATTGGTGTTTACAATGTTAGATGTACAAATACAAAAAAAAAATAAATAAAAAAAGTCGTATCATGATAACTTCCAAGATGGCATCCATTTTGGTGGAAAAAAAACAATGTAAAAACTCGGGTACAAATGCAATCTCAAAATAATGTTATACATATTACCTAAAACATCTAGATATAGTTAATGAACTACCACAACATAAACCCCATGGAAAACGAAATAGTGAAATTTTAGCTATAAAAGTTGTGGCCCAGAAATTTGCCGACAGTGGTCCTACACTGTGGGTCCGAACCTAGTGCCGACTAGACCCTCGGCCATGGTCCCGGAATAAAAATCCCGGTAAGGCTCATGTGAGAGTTTCTATGGCTTAGTATGATCCAAACGTGTGCTTTTAAACCAAAATATAAAGGAATTTAACTCCACCCGGATACTATACGCATTCCTAGGGCAGTTAGAATATAGGGTGGTGTTGGTATTCTATGTAGATATTGTTTGCTGTAAACATAAAATATAGTTCATGTGATGCTTTACACGCTGAGGTCACAACAAAATCAAAGTCGGTCTCGTCACCATTTATCAACCACCTGGATTATCCATTGCTGAATATCTTAACGGTTTTGAAAGGATGATTGCTCAATATATTTTACATCCATCTAAGGTTGTCTTCTGTGGCAACTTCAATATTCACATGGATGACGATAATGACATGGCAGCAAATTATTTCAAAACACTATTGAAATCCTTTGGCTTTTTGCAGCATGTATATTAGCCCACAAACTGTGGCAGGCACTGTCTCTTATTTTTTATTATTTTTCTCATTCTGGACAGCGCCACCAACGAGAAAGTTAATTTAGAGCAAAGATCTTATAAACACAAGATAGCGTTCTCCGGGATTTACGCGTGCAAATTCTGTAATAA